GTTATGGATTCATGGTCGGAAGAAAAAATATTATGTCTGATAAACGTTTATAAAATCAAAGCGTTATTATGGGATCCTAAAAATGAAAATCACTTCAAAAAAAATTTGAAAGAGGACGCTTGGCGGGAAATTGCGGATGAAATGGAAACCACTGCTGAACAGTGCAAAAAGAAAATAATAAGCCTCTTAGCTTCTTTCCGCCGGGTGAAAAATAAAACAAAGCAAGGGACTAGTACAGGAAAAGGTAAATTAATGAAATAATAAGATAAATTAGTTGTGTTTTATTTAAATAATAATTCAAAATATGTTTGCTAATACTAATTTAATTTTTAATTCAACTAAATAATATGTTTTTAATTAAGTTAGTTCACTTGCCGTATATAATTTTAACCTCGATTTTAATTTTCAGGATGAGATGAAGTTTATTTCAGCAGATGGTTTGCCTATGAAGCGTTTAGGTTTTTAGAAGACAGAGATTTGCGATGATAAAGATTGGCAACGGTAAGTAATTATTGTTATAAATTCAAGCATATTGGTCCTGCCATTCTAGAGCTCCATTATTTATAAAATAATTAGCGATTTCATCTCTAACTTTTGTACAATAGTTAGTGGGTCTTCGAGGAATATTTCGTATAGGTACCATAGACGTCATATCTCCTTCATTTCTCCATGATCCCTCAGTTAAATTTTCATTAACTTCATAGTCTAATGTGCCAAAAGGGGTATAAATATTTGGTGAGTGTTTTCTGAGATAATTATGCAAAAGAATGACTGACATTATAACCCACTCTGCTTTTGCAGGCTCTAAGAGCATTGGTTTTCTTAACACCCTAAACACTGCACTTGATATACCGAATGCGTTTTCAACTATGCGACGACCCCTACTCAAACGATAATTAAAAATTCGTTGAGGAGTTCCTTTTGGAAAGTCCCCAGTATAAGGGCTTCATGAGATTTTCGCTTAAAGCAAATGCGCTATCGCCGGTAAAAAAATACGGTATGTGCATAGAACATCCTTCTAGTTCTTCTGGTGTTGGAAGTCCTAGTCTGTTTTCTGTAAGCTACTGATATAATTTGCTTGCCTTAAACCCCCCCCCCCCCCCATCAGAAATTCTTCCTTGGCAGCCTACGTCAGCAAACATAAAGTTATAATCACCATCAACCAGTGCGAAAAGCACAATACTAAAATTGGATTTATAATTGAAGAATTCGGTACCCGATTTCACTGGTGCTTGTAAAACAACGTGTTTTCCAACTAGGGCACCAACACAATGAGGAGGGTTCCAACGAGTTTCAAATATCTTGCTAACTTGTTTCCAAGCTGTGGGAGTCCTAGGTAGCTGAAATGAAATAACAATTATTAATTTTGACCTGTTTTATTCATTATTAGCTTATCTTAATAATTTATTTATTTAATATCATTTTTTGCGCAACTTCTTTGGTGTATTTTGGAATAAGATAAAACCACCCTTCTCAAATAATAAAAAAAGGAATCGCTAATACTATGTTAACACAATTTCATTTCAAAATTTCATTATTTATAAACTACATATAAAGTTACTGAAAATGTATTTAATAGGAGCTGGATGATGTTAACGAAGCTGCCCTATCTTCCGAACAAATGGAACAAGAGGCGATACCAGAGACACCTACGCTACCATCTACCTCCAAATCTACAAAGCGATCAAAAACAAAACAAGATAATGTTTCCTCTCCAATAATGAGTGATGCATTTCAGATTTTGAAGAATGCTGCGAAAAAAATGGACAAAGAGCCAACTCAACCCAGTGAAATAGATTTATTTTTTAATTTTGTTGCTGCAAAGGTTCAAAAATACCCCCCTCCAATACAACAGACAATTCAACATGCCGTTTTTGACCTTATTATTAAAGCTTTCTTAATCCGACTTCAATTCAATCTTACAATGATTCTCAACCTACTTCCAACATACAGTCACAAGCTACCAATCATATCAATTCACAACCTACTTCTTCGATGTATTCCCAACCTACTTCACATAATCTATATTCTCAATCTTCTGAAACTTATTATTCACAACCTCTGCAAGTAATAACCGTTCCTGCAACTTCTGAACCATCATTGTCCAACCCATCATCGCTACAATCACCTGTTTCGACACTCACATCAGAAAATTATGAAGATTTTGTGTAACGTTTTTGAGTTCTATCTTTTGTTTGTTAACTTAGTGGTGGAAATTACTTTAAAGTGAAGAAAAATATATTTTTGAATTACACACAGGCATTTAATTTATATATTAATGTTGTTACCTTGATATATCCCTGCAATTCCTTAATTAGTGCAGCACAAACTTGGGGTACTACACCCCCAATCGACTGCTTGGAAATTCTGAATAGATACTGAAGGCTAGTATATGAATCTCCCGTGGCAAGAAACCGAAGTGTTACGGCTAACCTAGAATATTAATTTAAAAAAATTGTTAAAAAACAAAGCTACCTGTCCACGGTACACCGACTTACCTATCTTGGGCAGAGATTGGAGGACGAAAATAAGTCTCCTGTTTTGAAATATGGGGTCCAATCCTTTGCAGCAGATTCTCAAAGTCAGTAGGTGTCATTCGAGTGAAATTTTTATACTGTCCGCTTATTTCTTGCGACTTTAGGTCCATTAAAATTCCCGTACCACTGCGTTTCTTGAATAAATTAGTACGTCACCAACGTCGTTGTCTTCTCTTTTTTTTATTTACATCAGCCATTACTAAAACTGCAGCACTCATCACTAAAATAGTACAATATTCGTTTCGCGAAGCCATACTGCATTTGTCGACTGCGATGTTTGTTTGCGTTTGGTGCGCTGAATCTGTGGATCGCTGGAGGTTCGCGGAAAAAATCATTTCAACGAACCACCATCGAGCGGCTCACAAGCGGCTCGCGAACCGCTCGGCTCGCATATGTATACGCA